GTCATTAGGCAAAATGGTAAGGGAACTTCATAGTACTTCGGGCTGTATTTCAAGGATGTTGAATGCATTTTATTTGCTTCTTAATGTACTGCTCTAAGCTCAGTCACTTGTTCAATAATCTCAACATTCTCAACCTAATAATAAATTTGAAAAGAAGTAACAAAATCTTTTATCAAGGTAATTATGGTAAACAATTGTTTAAATCAATTGATCATGATTAGATTTTTTTATTTTTATTTATTTTTTTGTCAAATTTCTTAGGCTATCCAAGCAAAGGTTATTTGCTTTAGAACTTCTCTTAATGAAAGCTTGAATTTGATCATTCGTCATTAGTTATGTGTATTAAAGCCTAATTTGGCCATTATCAATACCAATGTTTTTAATCTCCCTATCAAAAAGATTTTCTAATTTATCACCACTAATGATGACTTTCATAAAACAAATCCAATTGTAGCTCTCTTAAAAGCTAGGTCATTTGCATCAATTTTTTTTTTTATTTTCTTCTAATTCAAAGACTTGGGTATTGTGTACCACCCTTCTGTCAAAGACATCTAAATAGAAGAATTCTTGAAATTAAGACGATTAAAATCATTAAAACATTATTCAAGAGAAGGTGACTTGAGAATCTCAAATCTTAAAGCCGCTAAATATAACTTCGACTACGAAAAACATTATGAGTTGACAATAAAGGAATTAATGCTCTGATTCATTTGCGAACAAGCATTATTTATGTCATTGCCTAAAATCGCTTGGGACAATAAGTGAACCAATGCCCTCCTTAAATAGCTTAAACTCAACTTGATTAACGTTCATTTAAAATTTCATTTAAGTTATTAAATAAATAAATTTTAAAATACAGAAAATTAATTTAATCTAATTTGAATAAAACTTTCTTGTTTATTTATGCTCATGATCACGTTTCTTTTAATTTGTTTTTCTTTTAGAAATAGCTTGTTAAAAATTTTATAACATGCTTAGTAATAGCTTGTATATCATTTAGTTAAAATTAAGAAACATTTAACTTATTTAATTACTTATTTAATAATAAGATATTACAATTTATTTATTAATCTAAGCTACTTCCCAATTCGCTTCCCTAGCTACTTATCATTCCAGACTATTTTTCGCCGCTTTCATCTCCCCAATCAATAAGCATCAAAATTTTCTGGCTCAAGCAAGATCGCTTCAAGAATACGAGCATTTTCATGCTTATAAGCTTGCATTTGAGGAAAAACGTATGGTTTAATCAATAACATGAAGGAAATGTGGGATTTGATTTTATAATATAATATATAAAGAAAAATTAATAAAAATCTAATTTAATTGAAAATAAGCATTTTAACCAAAACAGTAAAAATATAAAAAAAAGGGTAACTATACATTTGATTTAATTTTTGTAACAATGATTAATTCGTTTTCTATTAGTAGATGTTTTAACTAATCTCAAGATTTTGATGGTTCAAAATTCTAGTTCTTGATTTACAACTAGTAAATATAGATTACAAATTATTAATTCAAAATCTCTAGTTCATGATTTACATTAAAGTTCAAGTGTTAGACATATATAAATAAATAAACTTGTGTGGTATGTAGGTAAATGCCACCAATTAAAAAAATATATACAAAGACATTTATCACTCTTTTTAATCTTATTCCAAGGAGTTGTTCTTTGGCTTGAATCAACGCAGAAGAATCGCTTTCGAGCCATACTAAGGTTTCCTGGACAACGACGACTCCCGGATTGGCTTCGAGCAAAAAACGTTCTATAAAAGAAAGCTAGCAGCATAGTAAGAATATCATGTCAAGTCATCCACAAATCAATTATGAGCCCATTTCTAGGAAACAAGAAAATAAAGACATTTGAAACCTCGACTAATTGTTTGGGTCATAAATTACTGAACATATCAAGATTAACGGAATGAAACAGGCCAACCTCATTCCCTTTTACGGCAGATTGTCATGCCATCACCAATGGGTACCTGCGAGACGCCAACTTTTAATATCTGGTGGCGAGGCCATACAGATAAGCCAAAAGCATTTAAGAGAAAACAAAAAAAAAAGAATAGAAACACAACATCGGGATTATGCCCTGACCATACTAACGCTAACACGGCTATCCTCGCGAATTTTTTTATTGAAATTTCTCAGGCTGATAGTCTTCATGTCTTTCACCTGTTACAAGTAGAAAAGAGAAATAATAACTGATAAAATAGCTAAAACTTGGGAGCATAAACATGTTTGTCCGATGGTGATTTACTTGGGGATCAGAAACTTTTCCGTGCCATAGAACATTATCAAATATGATTAAGCCGCCAAACCTCACCTACAAGAAAGTTTGCTGGTTACTTTAAAGAGCATAAACTAACATATCTACAAAATTCATTAATACATGTAGATAAGCAGCATATTTCTTTCCACCACAACATCCCCGTGCAGCATGCAAGTGTAAGAAAATGTACAAAATAATGCAGTTTTAGAATTGCAAATTTAGAATTGTTTCACGGAATAACAAATTGAGCCAACAATTTTTTCAGAATAACAAAACTATTCAAAAGCCATTCACTCATGTTCTGATAAAACAGTTACCCCACTAACCTACCAGACATGGAAATGTTTGGCTGACAAGACGACTGATACCAGCAAAGGATATGAGTAGAATTTCAGCAAAATAACAATCAAGAATTGCTGAGAAGAATTCTAGAGGCCAAGAACAGCAAAACGAATATTATTGATGCAAAGGAAGCACAAGGATACATAAGGCAAGACTATCTAGGCTGCCAACTACAAGATACAGTTGCAAGGAAGATGAATTGGTAGCACAACCTTCTCAAAAGGAAGGAACTTATAATTCTAAAACCAAAATCTGCCCCTATATACAAAACAACACATATTTATAAGTTGTTCTTGATTGTTATAAATAAATATAAAAATAGAGAACTATTATGGATTTCCAATACAAGTTTGGCAAGTTTCAGGGTCTGTTTGGGGCAGCTGCAGTTTATCGAGCTTATCCTGAGAAGTTGTTTATCGTGATAATCTGGTGATAAGCAACTGATCCGGATAATCTGTATGCCTGTTTGGTTTGTGCGTTTTGAGAACAGCTGATTC